ACCATCAGTACAAACTAATATATTTGTGCAAATCAGGAGCAATATTTTGTATTCTTCAAAATGGATTTGAGTMTCCTCAAATATCCATCTATATACATAACTGTATATTATGAACTTAACAAAATTGAACAATGATGTTGTATCTGAATTCTGAGATCTAACCACGTTATTATAATTTTATCAATCAGGTTAGTCAAATATCCCCTGTGTACGTTTTTCTGTTAAGCTTTGTGCAGGGAACATGAGGATTCTTTTAAGAGTTTAAACGCTAATTTCATTGAAAAGTATTAAATTTTTTTTTTTACATTGTTTGAAGTTATAAAAACATTTTTTTGACTACTCATGTTATAAGTTTTTTCTTTTAAATAACAGCATTTGTTTATTTCATTTTCTAAAACATATTACAGCCAATTGTAATGAATATATTATAATTGAATTTCGAAACAGTAACTCACTAAGTAAGATTGATCAGAAGACTTTTTAATTATTTTTAAAGGTATTAGATACTGCTTTTCTAGCTTAAAATATTTTTCAATAATTAAAAAACTTATTTTGCATTTATTAAGCCATAAAGTCATGATTCATAATTATTTACGGTCATTCTTAACCAATTTTCAATAATTGAAAGAAAAATGTTGGCTTTTTCTTGTTTAAAGGATTAAAATATAATGAAATTTTCAATTTAAATAAGCTTAAATAATTTTAGCTTGACAGAATGTTTCGAATTTTAAAACATAACAAATAAATATAAAATAATTTTTGATAAGATAGAATTATACTATTCAATTTAATGTTTTTGTTATTTAACGTTAACATAATGATTTATCCAATTAAACGCATTACTATCAATTAAGAATTATAATTATAATCATTATCTGATTTTTTGTGTCATATTTGCATTTACTTTAGGTATTATAGGTACCTAGGTATTTATTATTCAATGTTTTAGGTCACATCATCAACATCCTAGTCCTATTTAAATAGTCTTTAAAATTTAGCAACTCATTATAAGTAAAAGTGTTTTGCCCCGAATACGACGTGTAAAGAGCAGTATCTATTGCGGATATGAATTATAATTATATATCAAAATCAATTTGGGAAAACGCTAATCGGTGGCGATACCACAGTTATGTATATAAACAGAGAAAGCGTAAAATTATTGCCGTTATTAATTTTCACTATGTTTCGGAGCTAATGATAAAAATATTATACACTGTGATTTGTCAAAAATGGTTTTTCATTTAATTATGCATTTATATTCTAATTTATAATTTTAACTTTTTTGGTATTTCGTATATTCCTATCCATTAGGTTTGAAATTATTTTTTTGATGAATTRTGCAACTAGCAATACACACGCACTCGTTTGAACTTTRAAGTAATCAATGACACACCGATGAAGTCTTATCACAGTATAWTATTATAATAAAATTCATCACTGCAGTCCTGCAGAGTAGTTAACGACGTTTAAAAATTTAACTTCCTTTTGTGTTATAATTATTTGAGTTCAAGTAAAACTAAAAAAGAAACTCACATTATAACTAGAGTATTAAAATTTAAGATTTGGTTAATCTAAGTAGATATAATATATGATTAACTCATTATCATAATAAGTTAGTGCCTAATATATATATCTGTGCGTTGTACATTCCTGTAAGATATTATATAGTTCAATATTTGATTGCATCATTTGTTCTTTTTACGGTGTATATTTGTGAGT